CTCTGCGTCGGAAATAGCCCTCGGCTACTCGCCAATCTAGCCCGAAGGATTCAGGTCCTCCGCGCGCCCCGTTCTGCATTAGATCAGCTCATTGGTCACTGCAAATGTAAAAAACGGATAGCTATCAATCCCAAGGCAAAGATACTTACACATTAGTCTCCCAGTAGACGGTTCTGAACCGGCGCTACCTCCCTGAGCACCCAGGCACTGCTCTAGGGTCAACCCGTGTGTCCTGGGCTAGAGGTCGTGCAGCCCTCGCCGTTAGCATCTCCGCCTGCTGCTCGGGGACTCCTTCCCCTCCCTCCGATTGCACCTCCACGCGCGTGTTGTGCGATGATGCCTTAGTGCTCAGAGGGGGAGCTACTGGAGCCACCTCGTCGTCCGACCACTTGGATATCGCCGCGCTCTGCATCTTAGTGGTCTGACCGCCACCAAGCGATATACCGCCCAGCTTGCGGGGAGCTACATCCGTCATTCTTCTCTTCTTTCGGGCTGGCTCATCATTCGCAGCCCTTTTCCCCCGAACCTTCTCCGATAACAGGGGGATTCTCCTTCTGATCAGCACCTCCACCTCCGAATTCAGACGAGGCACTGACGGCACTTTCCTTCAGCTGAGTGGTCGGCCTGGCGTCCACTGCCTTTGGCCAATCGCTCCTCGGCATGCCCGAGAAGTATGCCGCCCGTTCCTGCAAATGGATCTTTCCACAAGCGAATCAGTCCACTGCTCGGCGCCGGCATGGGATAAAAAGCACCTAGAATAATAGTCGAGATTTTTACCTAAGGAGGTGGGTTCGTGCAGTTAAAGGCTCTCAGCTGCCCTGGCACGCTGAACGGCGCATTTGGAGCGAATAGTTCAGTGGCCCGGTGTAGCACAACCTCCTTCGTCAGCCTCTCCGTCATCTCCCGGATGAGCCCTCTCCTTGCAGGGTTGGACGCGGCGCACTATGAAGCTCACCGTCACCACCACTCCGTTCATCTTCATGCCTCGTATCAGCTCGAGCAGCTCCTTCACCTACTCCATATCGGCACTGGTCGGTTTCTCCCACCAGCTCCTCTGATTCTCTGAAATCTAGTCGATGTCGCATCGGATGGCAGGATGACTCTGCTTCATGTAGAACCACCTGGCATTCCACCCCTTCAGTGAGGTATTCAGTGGCACAGTAAGGTATTCGCCTGCCATCCCGTCGTGGAGCTATAGATACACACCACCGACCACTTTGGAACCACGCCCTCCTTTCTTCTTCAGCCAGAAAATGTGTCGGAAGATATTGAAATGGGGAAGAATGCCAAGATAGGCCTCGCAGAAATGGATAAACACGGAAATGTGCAAAATAGTGTTCGGATGCAGATTGCACAAGCTCACTCCCCAGAACTCCAACAGACCCCGCAAGAAAGGATGTACCGAAAGTCCTAATCTGCGCCAGAAGTAATCCTCAAATACTATGACTTTGTCGGTGTGTGGCATCGGATAGGCTCATCGTCGGTCGGATGCCATCCGGCGGTGACATAGTCAGGAAGAACGTCCGCCTCCACCATCTCGTTGAGTTCTGTCTCCCCCATGAGAGACGGCACCCATTCCTTACCATGACTCGCCCCGGCGGCCGCCTTCTTCGGGTTACCACCTCCCCTCTTCGGCGCCATCCCTCAGATCTGGATCGGAACTAGCCTTTTATCGCAAGCTTTTTAGCCCTAGCAGCGGAGCGCGTGTGAATGCAAATGGGGGAGCGCGAGGATGAGGAGGAAGACAAAGTGGCGAAGTGGCAAAGGTGGGAGCGCGAAGTGCGGCGAAGCAATTATAAAGAAACCGTACCCACTTTTCGCATTCAAGGGTTTTGGGGAAACCGCACCATATTGATTTGCGCCCTTTTGAATTCCCCAAAGCGGCGTGGTGGGCCGTTATCTGGGCTTCCGCGCAACTGCAGCCCATATCACCCATTCTTCGACGCAACTTGGTACTGCACACCGAATATCTGCAAACTTCTCCGCAATACCATTAAGGCTCAGTAATTTCTACTGTACAGCCATTACTTTGGTTTTTTCTCCATGATTTGAGTAATCGGTACTTCTTGATTTATTCGAGATTTCCACTTGTGGCTCGGGGACTACGTCATCATAATGACTCGGTTTCTCACCACACTGGGGACTTCTTTTGGTTACTATTGTTTCTGATCCTGGCACCACATGACCATGTCACCTACTATCAGGCTTGAGGACTAAGTGGGCACACTTCACCTTGCGGTAAATGTGCGCTTTTCATTTTAGGGTTCAGCCCGAGGACTGGTTGCCTGCTCGGCTGGTCTTCTGCCTTTTATTGTACTTTCTGGACCCTGGCACCATGTGACCACGTCACCTACTGCCAGGCTCGGGGACTAAGTGGACACACTTCACCTCGCGGTGAGTATGTTTTCTTTCATATGGAAGACTCCGTGCCTCCTGAAGTTGAAGAAGATTATCTTCCTTTCTCGTGGTCGGACTCTAAGTGGGCACACTTGGTTCACAGTGAGAAAATTTTTGATTTTGAACTTGAGCTCCTTACATCCTTCTGGCAAGCCTTACTTGGGATACTCTGCTCGGTAACTATCCACAATTGCTCGGCGACTCATTAGAGTGGTCGGACTATGAGTCTGACTGCTCGGCTTTGTTCACACCTGCTCAAAAAAGCTCAAAACGGCGTTGCACAGCGGATACAAGGCGCTCAGGGACTAGCTGTGAGGGTGCGACCCCAGATACCCATGGCAGACTACATGATCTGCGCTCCTAGGGGCGGTCCAGCCCACAATACGAAGACCTATGGTGCACGGCACTGCTCGACGTGCACCGCAAGGCATCAAGGGCGATATCTTGAAGATAATACGAGATCTGTTAGGATATGTTCGATCACATGATTCATGTAATCTGTTATTACTTTCCGATTATCTTTTAGATCTAACTGTCTTGTAACCCTACCCCCAGACTATATAAAGCGGACAGGCCCCCCTCAAAACACGCGCAATATCATACGATAGCCAATACAAACCAACAGACCACAGGAGTATGGTATTACGTCGTGCTAACGGCCCGAACCTGTCTAATTATTGTGTCTCTGTTGCCTTCTTATTCTTGATTACGTACACCTCTGCCGATCAATCTACCTTCGTGGGATACCCATCAGAGGACTGCCGACGATATTCTGTCGACACATGCAAACTACCTTCATGCTCGATCATGTACTCCCAACGTGTGCATAGACCTATGACAACAACGATGAACAACGAAGTGTTCACGTCCATTTGCATGTTGTTGCCCAAGTCGTAGACCATGGTTCGAGAGTCTAAGAGATCACACGTCGATTTCCGCTGACGGTCCAATAAGTCTGCACACTTCATCATAATGATGTCTCACATCCCCTGAATAAGACTATGCTGCTCCAAGGTTAAACCACATTATACATGTTATTAATACACAATCAGAGTTTGAATTATATTTTTATTTGGAATTTCCTATGCATGTTTTAATGGTTAAGCAAGATATTGCTCCGAGGAAACTTGTTTGCAATTTCCACAACGGGTCGCACGGTGATTCATGCCATGGTCTAAAAGGATTGGTATTGATTTGCAACCTCTATTTCATATTTTAGCCCAGTTTTAAATTTCTGGAGACTATAAAATTCAAATAATTCTAAGCAAGGAACAAAAAGATTAGAGCATGACTTTATAAAAATATGAATCTAGATTCATATTTTTATGAGTTCAAACCAATTTTCTATGGAATTTTTAATACTAATTAGATTTTAGTATTTTCGAATGTATATTTATTCAAACAGAATATTTGGATAATTTGAAGAAAAATATTTACATAATTTTTAAAGTACAATTGGCTTTCATGAACCGTCACGAAAGTCTGATTTACTTTCTTCATCCCTGATAGGGAAGTAAATTAGAGGGTATGAATGAGTCTAAAAATCTGCTTTGCCTATCGAAAAATGTAAATCAAACTTAAAATTTTTTGAGGAGGTGAAAATAGTCTTGTTTATGGTCTTGTTCGGCTTACCCCATATTTGGCTTGTTCGACTTCTTTTTTTAGCCGAAACAGTATTGTTCTCTTACAACAATTCAGTCGGAACAATATTTTTTAGCCAGTTTTAGACCAGCAAACGGAGCCTGTATATTTTGACAGGGTCCTGAAATATTGGCAGCGCAGCCCATCTTCTTCCGTCTCTCCTAACACAAGGCGGCGCAGACGAGTTTACTCGTGTCGTGTCAGAGGCCGTCGCGGGTGCCAGGTGGCCATGCCATTCCCAGCTCGGGCCCCTGAGCTATCCCTTGAAATGGCCTGGGTGCGCCGAGCCCGCGACGTCGTCGGGTTTTCTGTCCATGTTTCGCAGGCCGGTCTCTCCTTTGATAGGCATCCAGTCCCGACATGCTTGCTGCCGGCGGCGAGGCCCCGGCGATGTCCAGGACAAGGCGTGGGTGCCGGATCCACCACCGAGTGGTCTGCCGACTGCCGCACCTCAGGAGTTCAGTTCAGTAATTTGTTCGCTGCACTGTATCGCGCTGCTGACCTTGGGCACTCTTCTGAATCTTTGACGCCGCCGGCCTCTCACCTGTTTGTCGTTATGCCTCCGAGGAATCTGAGCTTGTCTTTGAGACTTTGACAGGGTATTCCGAGGTGGTCGACTTAAGATGGAGCTATATAAATGTCAAAATACTGGAAGGAGGGCGTGAGAGTGACCATGAGACCACCACTGTTCTTATTTGCTCTTCAAACTTGCCGCCTTACATTTTCATCAATTTTCAGTCCGAAGGTGACTTCTCTGACATAGTCATACGGTCGTATCTTACCAGTCGTGTATGTGCATTTAGCAATGGCAGAACAAGGTTGAAAATCTGTGCACACACCATTTGACTAGATTCTTCGCCCCTTCTACCAAGTCAAGAATTACCTTATTTTACTGCATCCACAGCATTGCACGATCACCCCCTTCATATTTAGGAGACGTCTCCAGTTTTACAAGTTGAACCATGGCTCTCTGCTTCACTCCTCAAAATCATATGATGCGTGTGGTAGCCATAGCAGTGCTGCACCTGCTACAGCTCATGGCTGTCACACCAGTGCTCCACGCAGCCACCAACATAGCATTGCCTGATTGCATTAGCAAGTGCGGCGAGGTCAGTGTACCTTACCCGTTCGATATTGGCGCTGGTTGCTACCGTGAGGGGTTTCAGCTCACCTGCAACGAGACCTACAACGTCCCTAAGCTCTTTGTGGGCAATACCAGAGCTGAGGTGCTTGACATATCTCTGCATGATGGGAAGCTGTACATTAATAATGGTGTCGTCAGTGTGACAGGGAGCAATAGGTACAGCATGACATGGGAGATCCCTCTTCACAACACCATCTTCACGGTGTCCTCGGTGTGGAACAACTTCCTCGTCATGGGGTGTGGGTTCGACTTTCTTGTCAGTCTGCCGGATGCAGAAAGTACAGTTGTTAGTGTTCTTCGTCGTGCCTCAGTGAGCATCCTGCAGTAGCCACTGATGGTTCGTGCTCTGGGGTTGGCTGCTGTGAGGCATCCATGCCAGGAGCAGGCAGTTTATATTCCAACGAGCTTGCCTCTTTCCAAGCAAGAAACCACATGATCATGGAAGAGCAACCATTCAATGCTACTGTGGTCTTAGTGGAGAAACAATGGCGGGACAAGAACGACCACTCTGTGTTGTTACAGAAGGCGGTCTCAGATGGCTCCGCCCAGTCAATGCAGATAAAGACTGCTGTCAAGTGGAGTTTCAGCAACCTGTCTTGTGCAGATGCTCAGAGTTCAAGTGATTATGGTTGCCGCAGCTACAATAGTTACTGCCATGATCACTGCACTGGCGAATCATATGGGTCCTTTTGCCGTTGCAGCTATGGATATGAGGGCAACCCTTACATAGTAAATGGATGCCAAGGTATGCAATTTGTCATTTGCAGGTTAAGTTCTAGTTTCATTTGTCACCAAAAAAGAAGGGTTCAAATTTCACCATTCCAACTCTTGTCACCGCAGTGTGCTTCACATCTATGGTTTGTATTGCAACAGATATTGATGAGTGCGCACACCCAGATATATACCAATGCTTTGGTCAGTGTATTAACACGGAAGGATCCTATGATTGCGTTTGTCCAATTGGCACCTCTGGCAACCCCCAGAAACCACATGGATGCATCCAAGACACAGAAAAATTTTCAGGTAACAAGATCTTCCAATAAACTATAGCTTCAACTGTTGTAATGTCACCTTTTGATCGAAACATTGCTCAAAGTATATATGAAAATCCATATTTTCCAGGATTAGCTGTTGCTGCAGGAGTTCTCAGTTGTGGAGGCCTTGTGCTTCTTATTTTCTCTGCAATTCTCTTGAGGCGAAAGATAAGAGCCCGAAAAGCAAAGCATTTGAGAACTTTTTTCTTCAGGAAAACCGTTGATTGTTGTTGCAACTGTTAGTCGCTGAATTCTCACTCTTGGTAGTAGGAGAATCCTTACTGTCATCGAGAAAGGATGACACTAGGAGTTGGGGCAATTTTCTTGTCTATTTCTTACTCAAATGTCATGCCAACCTGAGGGGTTGGGGTTACATATTTATAGGCTGCTAGCCAGCCAAGCATATGCTAAGATGCTAGTCTAAGATGCTAATATGCTGTCCTAGCTAAGATGCTGTCCTGTCCTAGCTAAGATGATGTCCTCTAGTCTAAGATGCTGTCCTCTAAGATGCTGTCCTGCTGTCCTCTAGTCTAAGATGCTGTCCTAAAAGCAGAAAAACAGCCACAAGGACTATGTGAGCAGTACAGCCCCACAAAGACCACACATGAGACTTATCCATCATTCCCCCCCTAAGTCTTGTGCATCGTCTTGTGGGAGAGTTGAACCATCCCGGTCCTGGAGCAGAGCTCAAGGAACTTGATCCTCCCAAGGGGCTTGGTGAGCAGGTCCGCAAGCTGGTCCTTGGTGTTGATGTAGCTCGCCTTGATGCTCCCTTCCTCCAAACAGCCTCGGATGAAGTGGTACCTCACCCGGATGTGCTTGCTGCGTTCGTGGAACACGGGGTTCTTTTGCTGGGCAGAGCGGACTTGTTTGTCCACCCCGAGCTCCACCGCTCTAGTGTCTCGCCGAGGAGATCACCAAGCGATCGAGCGAGCCAGGCGCTGAGTCGAAGCGGTGGAGGCCGCTATGTACTCGGCCTCGCATGGGACAGACAGGCCACCACCTGCTTTGCTTGACCGATCGCCCGCCTAACGAGGCACTTGCCGAGGAAGAAGAGGACCCCGCTCGTGCTCTTGCCGGTGTCGATGTCGCCGGCGTGGTCGCTATCGCTGTACCCGACGAAGTGTGCCGCCCCAGGGCACCTCGGGTAGTAGAGGTCGTGGTCGAGAGTCCCCGCAACATAGCGGATGATCCTCTTCACAGCCTACTGGTGCTCCGTTGTCGGTCGCTGCATGAACCGACTAACGTAGCCGACGGAGAATGCCAAGTCCGGCCATGTGTGGGCGAGGTAGCGAAGGCTCCCCACAAGACGCCGCATGATCTTGCGTGGCGTCCACCTCCTCCGTCGTGCTGTCGCGGCTCGGCTTCAGCCTCTCCTCCATCGGAGTGAGAGCTGGGTTGCAGTCGGTGAGCCCAGCTAGCTCAACGACGCGCTTGGCGTAGGCGGTTTGTCGAAGTGTGATCCCAGAGTCATTCTGGTGCACCTCGATGCCCATGTAGAAGGAGAGAGGCCCCAGGTCACTCATCTGGAAGGTGGCCTTCATCTCTTCCTTGAATGCCGCCACCTCCGCATCCTTGGTGCCGGTGATCACCAAGTCGTCGACGAGACACCCACCAGCAGAGCGGTTCCTCCAACGCCCGTCGGTAGATGGTCGCCTCGTGCGGGCTTTGCTCAAGCCCATCCCTTTAGCGTGGAATCCAACTTGGCATTCCACGCCCTCGGTCTCGCCGCGCAAGCCATAGAGGGCCTTGCGCAAGCGGAGCACCTTGCCCTCCTTGCCGGGGATCGCAAATCCCGGCGGCTGGTGCACGTAGACCTCCTCCTTCAAGTCGCCGTTAAGGAACGCCGACTTGGCGTCCATGTGATGAACACGCACGCCCAGCCCTCTGGGCAGCTAAGCGCAGGAGGAGTCGCACGGACTCCATCCGTGCCACGGGAGCAAAGGCGTCGTCGAAGTCGACCCCCTCCTGCTGCACGAAACCTCATGCCACCAAGCGATTGTGCTTGACGATGGCACCGGCTTCATCCCTCTTCAGCTTGAACACCCACTTAAGGGTGATCGCGCGGTGACCACGAGGAAGGTCAGCAAGCTCCCAGGTGCGGTTCTTCTCGACCGCATCCATCTCCAACTGCATCGCGACGCGCCATGCCGCGTGTCTCTCGGCCTCTGCATACGACCGAGGCTCGCCGTCGTCACACGCAAGGTGCAACTGCGCCTCCAGGTCGTGAGGCACCGGTCCCGGCACCGGCTGGTCACCGAGAAGGTTCTCCATCGTACGGTACCGCAATGGCTCGCCGTCGTGATACGCGTTGATGCGCTCCTCGTCGTGAGAGAGCGGAGTAGCGAGCTCAACCGGGCTGTGCTCGACACGAGCTGGAGTAGACGTGCCCGGAGAAGTGCCTGTCGATGCTGGAGTGCGTGGCGTTGCCGGCTGTGGTGGAGCCGGCGAAGAACTCATCGCAGCCGAGGTCCTGGCTGGAGAGCGTGGTGCTGTCGGAGTAGCAGGCGCCGGGGTCGGTGGAGGCTCGGGGACTGGGGTAGACGCGCTCGCCGAAGAAGAGCTGCCTACTCCCCCAGCTCCCTCGAAGTGGACGTACTCGACAGTGAAGTCGTCGTACGTCGGAGCCGAGCCATCGTCCACCGCCTTGTCCCACGCCCATCCTCGCCCTTCGTCGAACACAACGTCGCGCGCCGTGCGCACATGCTGTGTCTTTGGGTCGAGGATGCGGTAGGCCTTCGAGCCCTCGCACAGAGCGATGAACACTCCGAGTGCTCTTGTCGTCGAGCTTGCTGATGTGGCCAAGCTCCTTGGCGAACGCGAGGCAGCCGAAGACCCGCAGGTGGGAGACCGCCGGCTTGCGCCCATGCCAAGCCTCGTACGGCGTCCTGCCGTCGAGCGCCTTGGTAGGCGAGCGGTTGAGGATGTAGACGGCCGTCACCACCGCCTCTCCCCAGAAGACAGCCGCATCCCCTCTCGCTGAGGAGGGCCCGAGCCATCCCCACAACCGTCTGGTTGCGCCGCTCGACGACGCCGTTCTGCTGCGGGCTGTACGGCGTGGAGTAGTGGCGCTGAATGCCCTCGTCAGCGCAGTACGACGCGAATTCAGCCGCCGTGAATTCGCCGCCGTTGTCGGTGCGCAGCACGCGCAGCTTGCGGCCGCACTCCGCCTCGCAGAAGACACTGCAGCAGCGCTGATGGCGTCCATGAGCCTCTCCCCTTCTTTGCCGAGGACCATCACCCACATGTAGCGGGAGAGGTCGTCGATGAGCAGCAGGAAGTAGCGTCATCCTCCCGGTGTGGCCGGTGTCACCGGGCCACACAAGTCCCCGTGCACAAGCTCGAGCCTCTTCTTGGCTCGAAAGCTAGCCCGCTGTGGAAAGGGGAGTCGCCTCTGCTTCGTCAACACGCAGACGTCGCAGAGCTGCTCCACATGGTCGAGGCACGGTAGGCCTCGCACCATCTCGTGGGCACCGAGCCGCCTGGGGCCTCAAGTGAAGGTGCCCAAAGCGCTCGTGCATCGCCACGCCTCGTCATCCCGATGAGCGGCGAGCAGAGGGTTGTGCCACCTGCGTTAAGGATGTAGAGTTGATTTGTGCTTCGGATACCTTGGCAAGAAGGCGGCGGCGGCGATCCCAAATCCTCATGACTCCATCCTCAACCACCACGCGAACCATTCTCATCCAAATTGTCCCAAGTCGATGATGGAGTTCCTCAACGCGGGGATGTAGTAGACTCCGGTGAGCAGCCTGTGCTCACCAGACACGGCGGTGAAGATGACGGAGCCGACGCCCTTGATCTCCACGCGGAGGCATCCCCAAACTTGAACGGAGCCTCGGACGCTAGAGTCAAGCTCGGTGAAGAACTCCCGTCGACCGGTCATGTGATGGGTGGCGCCGGTGTCGAGGCACCACCCGTCAGTCTTGTCGTTGTCGGAGCCGTCGCCGAGGAGGGCATGTGCTTTTGGCTCGTCAAGGTGGAGGAGAACCGCTGCGGCCGGTGCCGCTGGAGGTAGCTCGATGCTGGCATGTGCCATGAACAGAGCCGGTTCCTCCTCCTCCGCCTGTGCAACGTGGGCCTGGCCGCGTCGTGGCTGTCGACAGTCCTTGGCCCAATGGCCAAGCTGGCCGCAGTTGCGGCAGGTGTCGTCTCGTGCCGGCTTGTGCCTGCCGGCGGCGCCGCCCTGGGCGCCTCCATGGGCATCACCCTCGGCACGTCCTCGCGCCCCAGCCTGGGCGTCTCTGCGCGGCTTGCCACGCTTGCGGCCGCCTGTCGCGGAAGAAGGCTCCCCCTTCCTTCGGTCACCCTGGCTGGCAAGCCACTGCTCCTGAGTGAGAAGGAGCTTCCCGCCAGTGGTGATGGGCCCCGAGAGGGACTGTGGCTCATCGTTGTCGACGACCTTGAGGCGACCTATCGCCTCCTCGATCGACATCGTGGAGAGATCCAGCAGAGACTCGATCGAAGCGAGCCATCTGCGCCTACTTCTCGGGGACAGCGCGGAAGAGCTTTTCGACAGCTCTCTCCTCGCCGTAAGTGTCGTCGCCGAATCGCACCATCTTCGCAGCAGAGTGTTGAGACGGAGAGCAAAGTCATCAACGTCCTCACGGCTTGAAGGCGGGTTCTCCCACTCCTGCGAAGTGCTGCAGGTGTGGACTTGGGCGCGTGATGCCGCCGGCGCGTGCCGCGGCGATGGCGTCCCAAGCCTCCTTGGCGATCCGCTTCTTCGGTAAGCGAGAAGCGCATCT